ATTACCGTTTTAAGATATTGGAATGATATTGAATAGGCTTCAACCATTACTTGTAAACAGGTATGCAAAAACAAAACAATTAGTCAGGCATAAATATTCATACACAACAAGAAACTTTTAAGATAATTACATGTAAAAACTGATATCCAACAAACAACCCTCTTCTGGTCATATTTTAAGGTATTTTCCCTTCATTTACTCTTTCCTCAATTACAAAAACAATAACTTGTGTATTTAATACCTTTGTGTTTAAACCTAGAAATACAGTAGGACCTTTTAAACTTTATGTAACAGTGTAATAAGTGGCGAGAAAAATTTCTTAGTCTACTACAATACTTTGTTTTAAATAAGGCACCATTTTTTTATCATTACACAGCATGACTTTAAACAACATGATTCTTCAGCAAATATGTATAGTGTGTGCTAAGTTTTGCTTTTTTATTTTCACCCTGAAACAAGAGCATAAAATCAAACATTTTTAATAGCTAGAGTTGATGAATACTTTGTGAAATGTACTTACAAGCCAACACATAATACAAACAATTAATACAATGTTATTAATGTTGGTTCACTGAACAAAGCAATTGTTAAACTTCAGCTTACATGCACATACAAGAAAAGTAAAATTTACTTATCCTGGTGGTACAGCTGTTTCTATTTGTGCAATTCGTATTTCACCAATTACTGTAAATAAATCATTTTCATTCATTCCCATTATTTAATCTTAATGTTTCAAACTGGCAATCGTGACTAACTTCCACAATCTAGTGTATATATGGTGTCTGTCCGAGCGTTCTCCTGTCTCCCGTTTACAACGGCTGCTTCCCACGCTGCATTTTAACATCTGCGTATGCAGGCTAAGCTCAACATTCACTTTTGAAATGACGGGAGAACAGGCATGAATAAAGTTGATGCCAAATTTTATCCTGCAAGCAGGATATTCTACACTAATTGTCAGAATTAATCAGACTATCATTCACATTTCAAATGTGCATAACTTAGAGAATAAAAATGTATATTTACCATATGTTACTGTTGAGTGGCTCTTAGCATGACTGAAATGCTCAACAATTACCTTTCTCAGTGGGTGGTATAAGTAGCTCGGAGCTTTGGCTCTTAGTGAAATCAAGAGTACAGTACAATTAACCTTTTTAAAGTCCATGAAATAATTTAAATTGATAGATCAACTTAATCTTTTCCTGTCACTGGGGACGGGTACTTTTGCTTATTATGTTCTATTTTAGACATACTTAATTTCAAACAATTATAACGATTAGAAGTGATAACTAACAGTTTTAACATGAATCAACTTTAGACAAACATGACATCATCGATGAACAGGTTCTCTAAATTTATGAATCAAACTGACGACAGTGAAACTAACTATAGTAGTTTCACAACTGCAAGTTTACTTTCTTACAAAGCTCTGAATTCTTATTTATAAAGTAACAAACGTGACACATACAATATTACACAACAACACCCTGGTCTATATGACATTAAGCTCCTATTTGATTGTTTTTACAGTAAGTGAATGGCTTACATTTCAACTTCTAAAATTTATCATTCCCAATAGAAGGTGTAACAAATACAACAGTGAAATTTTTGGAATTAGTGTACCAATTGAAATATTCAAAAATATTATATTTAAAGGAAAAAATACAGTACACTGTATGAACTTTAAAATGCCAAAAAGTACTCTTAGATATGCATCTCCAACAACACAGTTATGAAAGCATCGTGTCAACAACATGGACCAAAAAAAAACCACAAGGGACATAAGCAAAGCTCAAGTTTTAACTCTCCATGGAAACATTTAGCCGTATAATTAATGGTCCGAGTTACATATGGTACCGTGTTTTGGTTAAATGTTTTACAAAGCTACTAAAAAAAAAAAAAAAAAAAAACCAAGTAAGTAATCCATAATATGAAATTCTCCAAATACTCTATCTAAATATGCTCTAGAGCTACTAGAAATATAGACATCATAACTCAATAGTACAACCTCAGGTCCAAGGAAATAATTAATATGATAAATTGCTAAATAAATTATTATTATTATCATTATTCTATCTTGAGTCCGGTTAACTTAAAATCAAGATCAGTGCCTTACCTAGAAGACTATTTTTTAACTACTATATATAAATAAAATTAATTAAACAAGCTTTTCTGACAGACTTTGAATTCTACACCCATAAAATAATACTTAAGTTAGTACACTTATTCTTTCTATTCAGTTCCAACAAATCTCATCCAGCTAATTCTAAACATAAATTTTCCAATGCTTTTTTCCTTCTATGCAATACTAATTTTATTTATAATTTGAGTACCTTTTTTTGGAAACTGGTATCAAATTCTGTTTTTTTTTATATATTTCTTGGAAATTAAGTTTGAATAGTGCATGAAGAAGTACTTTTAACTTGAAGAAAACTTGATACTCCACACACTAAGAAACCAGGTCCTCACAAAGGTGAGTACTTGTACTTCTTTAATTCAATAATCCTGTAATTTGTTACATGTTCTGCTGGAATTATTTTCATGATTTCCTAATAATTGTCACCATAATTTATACAATTGCAATTTTCTTAATTTTGTGGATAATAACATGGTTTGGATTAGTTTTCAGCCAATGAGACATAAATGTTATCAGATGCTATGACTGTCCAATGGATAAACCGGGATTTTCAGTCGGACTCTCAAAGCGTCCACTCAGGTTTAAGGAATTAATTAAAAAGGAGAATTTCCTCGCAAACTAATTTCCAACAGTGGTTAATCATCACAAAACACAGATTTTGAAACCAAGTTTAACTTTTTTTTTATTATATATATACAAATAACCCATTACCACTTTGTTGAATCACCAAAAAAACTACCTGATAGTAACTAAAACTTTACTTTGAAGAATTAACAGAAGATATCACAAGTTCATTGCTTCCAGCATGTCCATGAATACTAGTGATTTCCATTTTTATACAAAATAGACAGGGTAGAAACAGGATCCTCAGACTGAACGTATTCAAGAAATCTTACTAATTGTAAACATTATACAAACATGAGAATGACTGAAATGGTTTGTAAATATTAGATATTTAGAAATGAGCATTAAGACTAGTTAGAACAATAGATACTTTTTATGATGTGAATATACTGTAACTGATATGTAATTTAATTGTTTCATTAGAAATTCCTATTCAGTTTTACGCTGCCTCAGGATTATCTCGTTCTTTTTTGTTACGAGTCAGCCTCTTGGACTTGATCTGAGACAGCACTTCATAAGCTCTTTGGATCTCAATGAATTTCTCTTGTGCTACTTGCTTCTTCCCAGGATCTTTATGCCGATCAGGATGCCACTGTCTGGAGAGTTTCCTGTAATGAGCAGTAATCTCTTCCTGTGTAGCACTGGAATCCAGATTTAAAACCTAAAAACAAAGGAGAAAATATTATAGTCCTATGACTTATTTCTGTTTGTTTTTTTCAATGCAATACATCTTATTATAGTTTGAGCATTTGAAAAAAATATTTTACAATATAACTTTACCATAGATTTTTTATAAGTACATGCAGGTCTGTACCTTGAGTAGTGCAAGAAGTGTGTTTGTACGGGATACCAACTTGAAGGGAGTGCTGATTGCTAGTTTGACTAACAAAGTGAACTCATGGGTTAGGTTCAGAGGATACTGAATTTATATGTTACACAGGGCACCATCAAACATCTGTATGGCACCGACTACATGATTTACAAAAAACAATTTATTTTAGATGTATATGGAGACTGTGATAATGAAAATAACTGATATCTGGGATTTTTGTACCAGTATGAAACAAGCTTCCAAGACACAACTGAAAGCATTGTTTTGGAGGATGCCACCTTTGTTCAGGTGTTTCATGCATTTCTCACTTACAGTGACAACAGTATAAAACCTATGCATCATGTAATATGCAGAACCATGCCAGCTTGCAAATTTTCATCAATGGTTCCTAACATTACCACAAGTGTCACAGTTATGAGAAGTTCCAGCAGCTTAATAGTTTGTTGCCTCAGCACTCATCCTAGTCATATCAGTCTGTTTTCTCTTTGCAGTATCATTTCAATTGTGTTATAGCCAAGAATTAACTATAACGCAAGTCATGCAGAAATAATCTGAGCAACCAAAAGTTTGTTAAAAAAATGCATATAATGTTCTTAAAGTATTTTTAACACATTCATAAAGCATTATCAATTACATAAATTTAAATGTTGAATGTCTATACGAATTGGTTTAGACTCATTACATCAAGTTATGGATGAGAAGAGGGTAATAAGGCAAATAGCCATTGTTGATTTTAGAAGCCAAACACGACCAGATAACAAACGTTTGCCATAGCAGAGTGAAAGAAGTAAACTACTGTACTAAACCAATTTTATTTTACATCGTATACAAATTTCTTCAATTATTTCTAGCCAAAAGTGAACATTACAACAAAAAGTATCTCGTAAATAATATTTTTACATATATTGCATTTATCACACAGAAACTTAGTGGTACATATAGAATCTTAAAAGGTCAACAAACAATTCATTTGGAGCTATTACCTTTAAAGCATTTACTTCTCCTTGCGGATCAAATGCTTGAATTAATTGGTGCCATATTTCTTTCCAGCCATTATACTGAGCAAAGACATAAATATCTTTCATCACAGATTTAAATTCTTGCCACATGGGGCTAGTGAAAAAATTCTTAGCCGCATCTCGACACTTTATTTCATCTCCGCTCTGATCTGTTACAGTACAGTTGAAATATAGCCACGAACCCCAAAGAGAGATGTACAGTGCTCCACAAAATGTAAGGACCAATAGTCGTTTACAAATGTGACGTCTAGGCAGAGGTTTTCTTCGCCACTTTTTAGAATACCAATTAAAAAAACACTGAGAGAACAAAGATGTCCAGAAGACACTGTTCAAGCTCCAGAAGTATAATGGGTATGTCAGGTAGGCACCTAACAGTGGCCACCAGAAGGAGCCTTGTTCTCGTCCAATGTTTCCCACAAGATGAATACCTGACAGAAAAAAAGAAAAGCATATATACATAACTAACTTACGTGTTACATTTATAAACATAAATATTTTGGCATTTCATCTAATCTCAATGGAACAAAATTAATTGATATTTGATGGTCTTTGCGTGTGTACCTTTCTTTACAAAAACGAAACAACAAGATATACAAATACAATAACAATGAACGAAATGGACATCTCAGATTAAGTATATTAAGTAAGCAAAAAAATCATTACAACAGTGATAACAGCTGTTAAAGGAAAACCTACACAGTAAGTTAAAAACATGACCTACAAACCATAAATATTAAAGGAAATGGTTACCTGAATTGCTCCCTATTAAACCACATTGAAGTTAAATGTTGCATGTGTACTGTGTATCATGTTATGCTTTATGGCATATCAACATATTTTGAAAACAAATCAATATGAAATAATTTTTTTTTAACAAAAGCATAGGAAATAATTATAATGTAAATAATAAATTATTGATAATGACTAAGCTTAAGAATATACTACTGCATCCTTCATGAACCAAATTATGGTGAAAAGTAAATCTTTATCTTTGTATATTTCAAACAAATAAATTGATGAACACGTATGAAACAACACTTGATAAGTTTCAACAGTTACATATAACTAGTAAAGGAAGTAACAGAATGATTATACAGTATATACCGATAGCAGAGGGTACTGATAAATAGCCATTATTAGTTGGGATCTCTCAAAAAGCCTGTTTTGGAACCTTTTTGATGGATGTATTTACAGTAATTGGGCAGTGGTCAAATAAATTGATACACAAGTATGAAACAATACCTTGTAAGCTTCAACAGTTAGGTATAATTAGTACAGAGAGTAAAGAAACTGATTTTGGAGTACGTGCTGAAAATATAGGGTGTTGATAAATAGGATTATTAGTTGGGATTTCTCAAAAAACCTGTTTTTGGAACCTTTTTGTTGAAAAGGTATACAGAAGTGAAAGAATATAATGGGGTGGTCTAAACAAACTTTAATATGATTCTTTAGTATTGTTGTTGTTATTATTAACTTGTAGCGAAACTTGTCTGATTTCTTATTAATCCTGCATACAATATTTCACTTGATCATATGGTGTATTGACAGTTTGAATTCCCTTCATATAGAGTTTGTGTAAATACAGTACATGAATGTAAAAAGTTACACTTAGTTAAGCGATAATAATTGAATGTAATTGATTTTTGAGGATCATGGATGAAGGACATCTTGTTATTTTCCTTTTTGTTATGTTTGTATACATAATAATGATACTTCAAACAGGCTTACTGAAAGTATAACTAATGCATTGAGTTTTATCAGGAAGAATGATGAAAGAAAATAATCTCCATAAACATGGGTAATTTAGCTAAAACAAATGTCATCTGCAACTCCCATCCATCACAAAATGTATAAAAAGTACATGCCTATAGTAACAGTAGATTTACATTGAAAATTTGGAACATGTACGAAAAGAAAGTCTTTAGCTTAGAATATCAACTCTGAAAACAAACAGTTTTATGCAACATATGTCCAAAAAAAAAATGTAAGTTGTAACCACACACATGTAAGATCTACTAGGAATAATAACAGATGTTTGTGGATAAGATGTTCATTTCTTCTGTAATAGTTTTAAATCTTTTAGAAGTGTTAGGACACAAAAAGACATGTTGGACGCATACATATAATATTCAAGGGTTTTTGTACAGTTCCACTTTCTTTATTTACTAGACTGTAGATGTTGAAATCACACTCTGGAAAATGATTCAAGGTTTTGAAATTTTAAACATATCTATATGTTATTTTTCTAAGGTTCAGAGAAAACAAGTCACAATTTTTAAGCCTCTCTTTGAAACCAATTTTTAAATATTGTACACGTCTCTCAAAACATTCATATATTAAATTTTCCCTGTACAATATATATAAAAGGACCAAAATTGTGCACAATAATTTGAATATGGTCCAACTAGTAAAATGTAAGGTTACAATAACATTCTTACAGCATATCTAAAAACTTGTATATGTATATTATTATTATCTTTTAATCAAAACATGTTACCAACATAGATCTGAAATAAAAATTGCTACAGTAATTAAAATAAGTAACTTAATAAACTGTTTTAATTGAGAGCATGAAATTTCATAAAACAAAAGCAATGATTAGGAGACATTAATTTATTGTTTGGGTCCCTTCACTGTTGGAAATATTTTTAACCCTCATCCCAATAATATCTCACAAGGTTCATGCCAGCTTAGGAGATTTAGGCTAGTTCTAAATACATATTATATTACACTAACAATACAAAATAATCCTCATTATAAAAATATATATATTAGTGAAGTTGAGATTAAATAAAAAGAGAACTTACAAAACACATTAACAAGTTGCTTTCTTCATGCACTATTACTGATTCTCTGTCTTTTGAAAAATCCACAGTAGTTTTAAACTCTACAGAACGTTGAGTACATTATAGTAAAACTATTTTAAATATGCAAGTCAGCCAGTTATATAGCAACCTTAACCAATGTAAAGTCGCAGTGGAATGAAATGTACCAGAACTACAGTTTAACATTGTTTGATGTTCCATATGTAGGGTGATACAACTAAAAACTGATCACTTTTGAACAAATATGTAACATCCCTTTACAATGCAAAATATTCATAGACTTGAACAATAAAGATGTACTTAGATCAGTGATATCCCTTTCACTTCATGGCATTAGAAAACAAAGGAATATGGATCAACTTGGGGTACCAGGACTATCCAGAAAGAGTACATGCTGTACTACCACAGTTGAGGTATACAATGTGAGGTATCATGTAACATGTGAGAAACCATGAACTCAAAGGTCAGTAGAAAAACTATCCACGTGCCTAACAAAACACTATGCAACATAGTCAAGAAGGTTATTTATCTGAAAACAAGGCCAACAGTTATGGGTTAATAAGACTTCCAGTCACATACCTCAAGGCAGATGGAAGATAAAATGTATATTCTTGATATCCTGCACAAAGGCATACCAGTCAAGCCACTGGATACAGTGTCTATGGACTTTTGTGTGATCAGACTGTTGAAACAGGCAATGGGAAACCATTACCTTCATGTACTAGATGGATTATGGAAAGTTCAGGAAGGAGTGGTATGCTTTGGACATAACCATCTTACAACAGAGCTATTTGCAATGGAAATTATATTGCAGAGGTATTATCAACATGCATGGTCATCAGACAGAGTATGACTGGACATGAAGATAAGACTCCAAAAATTTTTTTCATATAATGTATGCTCAACCTCTGTATCTGCTCTTTTCACCACAGCTGAAAGCACTAATTACAACACAATTCCATCTCTTTTTTTGATATGTCCAAATCAGTTTCGAAACAAGAAATCCTTTCAAATTTCCATAAATTATAAACTTTAAAGTAGTGAAACTCATTTCCCAAATTATGCCTTAGTCACCAATTGTCCAGAACATTATTAATACTGCATGTAAGAAACATGCAATATGTTAGGAAAAGTTGTTAAAATGACGTTTAAACCTACAAGACTACACATAAATGTGCATGTAATGGTATGCAGTAAGATTTGGCTTAATGCTGAGATGTACTATTTTGTATTTTCAGTTTTATTTTTTTTTCTTTCAAGAAAATAGTTATCTTAAAACTAAAAACCCAGTTATTACAATATAGATATATGTACCTATATAAAAATTACATTTATTTCTACTGTATAACTCTAAAGTCAACAGCTACACATACACAGTTTTGTTTCCTGCTGTTTATTGAAATATACATGTGCGCATTGAATGAAAAGAACTTATTTTTTTCATAACAGACTATTACTGCACATGTAAACCCCAAAACATTCCTTGACAGTGCCTAAAAGAAATCAAGTTAGTTAGGTCTAGGTCAGAATGGATGATCAAGACGTAATCAACACTTTCAAAACAAAATGCTTTTAAAATGGCATAACTATGTTTTATCACCAATTATATGTATATGTACTCAGACCAACTCTGAAACAAAAGTACACAGCATTTATTTGGCACTTCAATTGATCATGTGTGACCCTATAATGTTATATTTTTACCTATATGTAGACTTGTGTACGATTTATTTCATCTACAGCTATATACAATGTAAAGCATGTCTGAGTTCTGTTTATTTATCAACACAATTCATACATTGAAATTAGAGTAACAGACATAAATGTATTACACATATGGTGTCATATATACTTTCTCTGTACACTTGCATGTGCACAGGTGAGCAACAATGCCTAAAGTGTACAATCAACATATTTGCAGCTTCCTGTGATCTTGTGAAAACCACATAGATTTTGCAGGATGACATCTGGTTGATTTCCCATTTGTTATCAACTTACACCTGTAACTTTCTCACATTTCTACCTTATATGCAACACAAGCGCATAAGTTACATCTGATAAGTTATCTAAACATTTGACTAAAACAAGTCAATATTATTTCCAGTGTACTGCACTACATGTATTTCTCTACATTTACACATCCTGGAATTAAGTTTAATTTAAATATTTCAACCATTGTTTGTTCTTCATTATTCTAAATGGTTATTTGATATTGTTTATCTGTATTTATTTAGACATATAATATTTCCCATGACATTTGAGCACAAGGACTAACAAAATGAATTTTGAAAAAAACTGATGACTGAATAACTACACTTGCACTCTCCAAGATACCTACAACCTACCAAAAACAGGGAAATGCATCTCTTTCACAAACTACAGGTGCTGACACCTGTAGTTTAACAAAGTTGGTCTTTTAAACTTAAAATGATTATTTAGTCCTATGCACAAGGGTGGGGGTCGAAGTACAAAAGCCACAACCTTATGTAGAGTGCCATTCAAAATAACATTATATTTCTGATGTCAAAGTTATCAATCATTTATTTTACCCTATGATGAAGTGTTCTTAAATCAGCAATGAGAAGAGATACCAGATACAATACACAGATACTGAAGATACGCATTTTAGAGATTCTAGAAGTTACGCAAATTTAATATGCAAACTAGATGGTGGTCAGAAGTATCTTTATTGTTAACATAAACATCAACTTGTACTCAAACTTGTCGATTCAGACTAAACATCCTCGATTCAGACATATCTTGAGTACAAATACTTTTGTAGCTTATCTGATTTTTTGTGTATAACAGACTTGTAGATTTTACTAAAAGCTTGCCACATTTCATATAGATACACATAATAAATTTGGATTTATACTCAATATTCTTTCTCCAATATGGGGTTGGTCCAATAGATGAAGCTTGTGCACATTGGATTAAAGAAGAAAAGTAAAATATGACATAGAGGTACATGTAAAGTTCGGAGTGGATCGCAGAAAGTCAGTTAATCCACTTCGACTACACATCAGGCTAAAAAAACAACACTGATTATATATATATATAAATATAATCTTTTTTTATATATAAACTCCTCCCAGTTTTGATAGAACCATAATTAACATCACATGCCACTTCCTTAAGTTACTATTTTAAAACAATTTCAGAAATTAAATATGCTGAAAACACAGTTTGTTCATCCTTGAATAATAATAATCTAGAAAAAACACATCCAAGCATTTTTTGAGATTCTTTTTCAACTAAATGCCATGCATAATGTTTAAAATTGTCTTTATGTAGTTTAGAATGAAGTGGTAGTAAAAAAAAAAAAATAGAACAGTACAGACAATCCAAATATCTCCTTTCTTTTCTCAATCCCAAAAACATATTTCTGTCTTGATAACATTAACTGTTTACTCATTCAAATTGTTTTTTGACCTGGCATATATATGTATGTACATAAAAAAAGAAAAGAATGAAAGCTAGTTATAATAATTCATTCTACCAAAACATTATGTAAATACATAAAACACTTGTAACTTGTATCTGATTGTCATTTTCAACAAAGAAAACATTTAAGGTAAACAACTATTTCAGAGACCTGTAATTTACAGGCATAGCCATACCTAATTTAGAACTGTTAATCGGTTGGGAAAAAACCAGTCATCGCCAGAATTACTTAAGAATATGATACTCCCAACCAAATAGCGGGCATAATGTCCTCCACGCAGTTGAAAGTGTGTTCAGTGGCATATTGCATCTCAGTGTTTCAATTATACGACATGCAGTCCATCATGTTAATCCCTAAACTATTTTCAGCCTAGATTATATACTGCAGCAGAATGTAGATATTAATCCTTTGGTGATAAAAAAATAAAGAAGGTCAAAGATCAGACATAGGTCAACAGAGACAATGAGTAGGTGACTTACTGATGATGTTATTTCTATTTTTAAAAAGAAAACAAAATGAGTTGCCCTAGGAATTACACACAGGTTAATATTTGTTACTTTTGGAATGCAAAGAATTCTAAACAAGTCTGATAAAATAAACTTTGCAAAAATTTTTGTGAAATACAGAGCTGGGAAATTAACTCCATAAATTCATATAACATGTTATCTACGAGATTTGATTAGTGTTACATAAATTAAGAAGGCCTGTGCTGGTTTTATTGTCTTGAAATTTTTACATGTCCTACAGCAATTCCTGTACACTGAATCCAAAAATGGTATCCATTTTTCTCCATCATGTGGAGAATTTTCACAAAATGTCATATACTTTTACATAAGTGAATCATTTTCATTTAAATCTGGTCACATTTTGTTATGCTTAAAATGTTGACAATCACTGGCTATGGGAGAGTTTTATCAATCATTCCAGAACCCAAAAGAAACAAATATAATAATAAAAAATGTTCATTGTGGTAAATGAAATAATTTGATCTAAGTAAGAGTTTTTGTTTTCCCCAATTTGTAAAAACTCCTTATGTAACAGAAAAAAAATTAATATTATATATACGAAATCTGCATGGATGAATTCTGCAAAATCCATTATTAAAAACAAAACAACTTTTATGAAGTTTAAATTTTCAGGCCAGAGTAATCAATTAATCAACATCAGTGTTTCCCACTATCACCGTTTTGAATTATTCAAATTATCCAAGTAATCAAAGTATCATTAACGATTTCTTATTATCATCTGTAGTTAATTCAAGGTTGAATCAATTAGTATCGGGACTCGTGGAAGTAATCAACTGATCAAAAGTTTAGTGTTTCTGATTATTACTATATTTTATTATTATGACAATTCAAGTCCCATGTGAGAATAATACCATTAGTTGAGTAAATCAATTAATTAGAACAATGGTTAATCAATTATCAAATTCAACTAAATGCCCTGTTCTAGTGAAACATGCTTTCGTGAAGAAAATCAATGCAGATTCACTAAATAAATCTTTCCTTATTAATCTATTAATTCTTTTTTGTTTGAAGATTTTATGTTAATGCATGTGGACTTGGTGTTCTTTATTTCAAGAGCTTTTGATAAGTTGCCAATTGAGCTGGAGTTTGCCAATTGATTAATGGTCATGCTCCTTAATTGATTACATTCAACTAACTGATTATTCTCGCAAGATGGATAAAAAAAACTTATTACACTAAAAATTGGGTTTTCATACCTGTGGTGGGCACAGCACAGATAGGCAATTGTATAGCTTTGAGCTAAATACAAGCAAACATAATAGAAATATTTCAATTAGTTGAATAGTTGAAAAAAATCGAAAGTAATAATAAAGGTAAATCTTAACTTTGATTACTTCATTTATATTGTGAGTCCTGACTCTAATTAATTAAGCTGAATAAACTTGAATTAATTGAAAAATAATGAAAAATCAAAATGATATTTCTATTACTGGATAGATGGAATAATGAAACTTTGTAGAATGGATGGCAACTGCCTGTTGTAGAGACACAAGTGTAGAGGATGACGTTTCGAAAGTATTCCGCCTTTCGTCTTAAGGACCTGTTAGTTAGTTACTTAATTTTAAATAACTTTTAATCTACAGGTAGGCTCATTCCCTTCATTACAATTTAAATGTATTTTCTCAATTTTTGTATGGATTTTCTGTGGCTAGACTTGTGAACAACTAGTGCTTACTTTGTTTAAAACTAGTGCTTACTTGTAAACAATATTTCAACTATAATTTCCACTGTTTTCAAAATGAATGAACAAGATATGTCAATATCAGAGACTAGTATACTTTGCAAAATTAACACATAGTTTGTAACTTAGTACCAGTAACACAACTACTTACTGTATCATAATTTGTAGTTTTTCCATATTGTCTTCTAAGGTTCCCCACTTGTGACATGAATACAGAGTGACTGAACTCTGAACTCACTTATAACATTAACTAGCCTCTGCTTTCTTTCATCCAGCCACTCTATCTAATGAGGCAACACTACAGAGACCATTTTTTAATTACAAAGCTTTTTATATAGCAAGATAATGATAAATGAATTATTCTAAGTAAGTGACTAAATAAAACAAGTAAGGAAATACATATCTAATATAATAACGTCCCTAAAGAAAGTTTTTAGTGTACTTATTTTTAGGGATAATGTCTCTACTTCACACTATGACCCAGCATGGCTAGGTGGATAGGGCACTTGACTTGCAATCTCAGGGTGGTGAATTCGAATCCCTATCCCACCAAACATTTTTGCCTTTTCAGCCATGGTGGCATTATAATGTGATGGTCAATCCCACTATTCATTGGTAAAAGTAAAAGGAGGAGCCCAAGAGTTGGCAGTGGGTGGTGATGATTAGCTGCCTTCCCTCTAGTCTTTCACTGCTAAATTAGAGATAACTACGCAGTTGGCCCTCGTGTAACTTTGTGCAAAATTGAAAACAAACTTCACACTGTACAAATAAATATACATTATATATACAATTTAGACATTACTTACAAACTCAGGGAGTTGGAAATTTGTGTCTATAACACAAAAACTACATACTTACCAATGGCCACTGCCAAAGGAACAAATACTGCCAAAAGCGGATGAGACCAATCTGGTACATGTTCAGAAGGAATTGCTGCCAGAACAAGATAACCAAAGGCGTCTGAAACAATTAACTGACCACAATAACGTACAAAACTTGATGAAGGTTTATCATCTTTCTTCATTTTCTTGGCGAGTTTCTCCATATAACCTGTCTCCTCATTTGCATCTTTCACATATTCCGGCAGTCTCCATAAATCTCGCAACCATCCTAGTCCAAAATAACCCCCAACAAACATCCACCATACAAGAGCTTGTCGATCACGTTGTAAATAGAAATGGTGAAGCCCATAAAATCCACCAAAAAACCAAAGTACATATGCTACGTACAAACTTTTTGCCATACTTAAATTAAACTTAAACCAGACTAAACGGATTTCTGATATTTTCAATTTTATTCACCAACTATGTGTCGACAGATCATGCAATACATCATCATACTCATACACTATTTCGGAATTTAAACCCCCGCCGGTAAACCACCTGCTAACACCGACAAAATACTCGTAAGTCGACGTGTTAAAACTCTTTCCACTAGGTGACTTAAATGATTAAGGCTATTTATTTTTTATCTTTTATTAAACAAAGAGGCGATGATCCAGCAAAACGCAAGGCTGTCAGAGCTTAAGTTTTTTATGTAAAAGAAATATTTTAAACCAAATCAAATACAAAAAATATACTATAAAACATATAAACCCGTAGAAAAATAAAATGATGACGTATTGTTATTTTATTAATATTTGTTAAAGAACGGCAATGTACATTTAAAGATAGGATAATCTATTATTAAAAAAATTAAAAATGTACTTTTGTACAATTAACACTCTAAATATTAAAATTTATTTATCGGTTGTTAAGCGCAAAGCTACGCAATGAGCTATCTGTGCTGTACCACCACGGGTATCGAAATCCGATTTTTAATGTTGTAAATTTTCAAACATGCCGCGGGAGGAGGTGGGGCAACTGTTACAAACAAGCGCTACATTTTTACGGTTAATTTTACCTTATTTTATTTCATAAATCAAAAAGTGCACTAATTTTAAATGCAAATAAATACATTGCGCAATTTCCAAGTAAACAATCAGAATAAGAGGAGTTTATCTTTAATACAGAAAATGTAAAAATTAACACGACATACATGTTTATGTAGATCGCAATTGTATTTAGTTTTATTCAATTGTTTAATTGCACATTATGGCTTGACTCATAAGCTCTAAAAATCACATAACCAATCCTAAAGAACGTTGCTGTTTGTGCGGTATCGTTATCATTACAGCCAATAGTTGACTCGTTGATTAAATTCATAATATATAATAAATATTCGCAATCATATTGTTTTTATAATTTATTAGGATACACCATGAAATATTTTTGAAGGTCAAATATCGCTAGTGAGCCATAGTCATAGATCATCTATTGTTCTCCTAGTATTAGCTAGTAGACTATTTTTGCACCCAATATCTATAGTGAAAATATATGTAATTTGTTTAAAATAAATGTGATTTTTAAACGTTTCAATGGATGTCCAGAATACTTGACACTTTCCATCAGATCAAATGGCTTTTATAGCAATGGAATTGTTTCGAAAACACTGTGCCAGAGAAACTTAATAGGTGAGAGAAAATACTATATGATATATTTTATTTCCTTGAGGCCACAATACATTGTTACTTGCAGAAAAACCGGAGTAAATTAGAAGCGCTATCTGTTAAAATGCAAGAAAATATAATGAATTTTAGTGTGATTTTTTTTTTGCATGGGCGCCCGCAGAAAGGGGCAAAAGGGGTCACTTGACCTCCCTGGATTTTCAAAACGATTTGTTTGTTGTTCCTGATTAAGCCGAAAGGGCTATCTGTGCTCTGCCCACCACAGGTATCGAAACCTGGTTTCTAGCGTTGAGAGTCCTCAGACATGCTGCTGTGCTACTTGGGAGGGGGGGGGCTATAAAAAACAACAACAACTAGATATGTAAAATTATTCTTCTATGTTATTGGAAAATCATAAGGTATTTGTACTTCGATTTCATAATTTTTTCAAACTTGAGTTACTTGACCACCCTACTTTTTTTTTCTGTGAGCCCTTGTTTGTTTGTTTGTAGTTAAGCACGAAGCTACAAAAAAGGCTATCCGTGATGTGCCCACAACGGGTATCAAAATTCGGTGTTTAGTGTTATAAGCCTTCATACTTACAGCTCAGCCATTGGGTGACTTTAATTATGAAATATGCCATAAAATGCATTCTGTTAAACGTAGCATTAAGTTTCACGCAACGATCAACATGTGAAACGTATTCAAAAGGATGCATTTTTTACTTTCAACTAAAGACATTTTTAATAAACTAAACATAACTTAATGATACTTTTATATTCACTGTTTACATAAGCTCAGTTACTATTAGTAAATTTGGCATGGTTTAAAGATAAAAAAAAACGTAATTATAATTGTCGAAGGTGTTACATAATTCATTTTTAATTGCAACTCTTCTTCATAAACTATATCTATTTTTAACTGTCCATAATCACATGGAGGACAGATGAGGAAATGTGTCTTGTCACTGTTGTGCTGCCCGGCATGGCCAGGTGGTTAGGGCGCTCGACTTGTTGGAGTGAATATGTACATTTGAAGTGGCAAATTACTGTAATGAGTGGGCATTCGACTCCAATCTGTGGGTCGCGGGTTCGAATACCCGTCCCACAAAATATCCTCGCCCTTTTAGCTGTGGGGGCGTTATAATGTGACGGTCAATCCCACTATTCGTTGGTAAAAGAGTAGTCTAAGGGTTGGCGGTGGTTGGTGATGACTAGCTGCCTTCCCTCTAGTCTTACACTGCTAAATTAGGGACGGCTAGCGCAGATAGCTCTCCTGTAACTTTGCGCGAAATCCACAACAAACAAATAAACTGTAGTGCTGAGGTCCAATCTATGAAAAAACTTAATATATTTCATTTTGAAATTATTATACAGTTACAATTCATCTGTTGTACATGATTTATTTTTTATTGTTATTTATGCATATAACAGTTATAAATTTAGTTTCGTTACTAAACTATGCTAATACCTACTATCTTGCAAATGGAGATATGTATTTATTTTTCAAATCATAATAATGTTACATGATGACAAAATTAATAAAACTGATCCATCAACTATGTTAGTGCTTCTAAAATGTTGGCACACGTTATTATTGTTTGTTTCTTCCAACTACAATTTTCGTGTAAAACTACACATGGGCTAATTCAGTGGTCATAGCCTTCCTAATTCTAAACTGAAAGACTTTAAGGGAATCAGCTAGTCAACAGTACTAACCACTAACTATTCTTGTCTGACGAAATAGTGGGACTTAACCGTCAAGCTCTGTTGCCTCAGAGTGCGGAGCACGTTTTTGCGGCAACAGAACTTGAACAATAAGCTCTCTGATTCATATGCAGTCTGCGTACTTCAGCTACTAGGTGAGTCTTGGCCCACATGTAATCATCGTATATCGCTGATTGCCTATATATTTATGGTTTATTCCATGTGTGCATGGGGGAGGAAGGGGGCAGTATAGGTGTATATTGTTTTATTATTCTTATTTTTGGTGAGAGTTGCAATTTACATTTATTGTACATTCTCGGTAAAATGAAAATTTAATACTTTTTGTATATAGTATTCTTATAATTATATTAGTGAAAAGGCAGATTCTTTTCCCTTATACCCCCCCCCCGCCCTATTTCCAGCCCACCTTTTCTTTTTGTAGGATCGCTTCTCACAGGAAAAATTATGAATAGCCTCAGTTGTATATATGTTATAAACAATGGAAACTTTGTCTTTACTGTTACCAAAATGTAATTAAAAAATAAACTTTCGCACTCGATCAAAATAAAGATGCTGGATTTCACCTTATAGCTAAATGTATTATGGTTCTGTAGCTTATCAACAGAAGTAATATATCTGGGTTATGGACTTTTGTCTTTTTTTTCTATCATCTACACCAGGGGTCACCAAACTAAGGCCCGCGAGGTCAGTTCATCCGGCCCGCCACTGCACTGTGCCATAAATGAGCTAAAATATAATTATTTATATGGAAATATCATAGATTGTAGATAAACTTACTATGTAAACAAAAATCAAAGCAAGTGTAAGTAAAAATGTCCAAATTTGTCCAATCTGATTTTTGCATCTGACAGTAATATAAGTTTTAGGAAAATCAGTGAAATAAAAAATTCGGCAACTTTTTGTGACTCTGGATATCAGAGCGCTTTTTGTGTAAGTACAAGCAATAAGAGTTCATTCCTGCAGTCGCCTCTGTGTGCATT